AGAAAGAAAGAAAGAAAGAAAGAAAGAAAGAAAGAAAGAAAGAAAGATGCTCAAGTAAAGACTAAGACACAGCAGTGTGGACTTCTCACAGGAGAGTCCCTCTCAAATGTAGGTTACAACTAAAAGAGTTGCTAAGAAACTTTTCCCTCTCTTTTCCTTTTTTTTTAATGAGTACAAATCTACTTATTTACTTATCATTTGCATTTTTTTATTTTTAAAGATTTACTTTTTAATGTGTATGAGTATTTTGCCTGTGTATAGGTATGTGCACCATGTGTGTGCCTGGTGCCCAGGGAGGCCAGAAGTGGGTGTCAGATCCCCTGGAAGTGGAGTTACAGATGGTTGTGAGCTGCCATGTTAGTTCTGGGAATAGAAACCAGGTCCTCTGCAAGAGCAGCCAGTGCTCTTAACAGTCACACCTTCCCTTTCTTTCTTTTTTTTTTTTTAGACATGGTCTCCCCGTAGCCCCAGTTGGCCTGGAACTTGCTATATAGTCCAGGCTGGCTTTGATCTCACTGAGATCCACCTGTATCTGCCTCCCAAGTGCTGGGATTAAAGGAATGTGCCTTCATGCCCCACCCCTCCTCTCCCCCCCTTTTTTTGACACAGGGTCTCACTGTATAAACCTGGCTGGCTTGGAGTTCATTATATAGACCAGGCTGGCCTCAAATTCACAGAGATCTACCTGCCTCTGCCTCTGGAGTGCTGATATCAAAGGTATGTGGCACACACCCAGTTCAAGCCCCTATTAAAGGAGCTCCAAGGCTTGGCTAAGACTGTGATGGGCATCAACTCTGATAACCAAGTCTAACCAGATTCTTCCAGTCCCTCAGTGGCTCCTTGATGTCCTCTGTGTAAGCCCTGGCCAGCTTGATGACCTTCTATTCTCTCATTCCCTTGACACAATTTCTCTAAGCCAGCCCTATGCTTTCTAGCCAACCTCTCTGCCTCACTCTGCACTGTTGTCTGGAGCTCCATGCTGCCTCCCCACCCTCCAATCTTCCTCTGGCCTCATCAGATACAAATATTTCAGAATACCTAAGATGGCCATGGTCCCACTAATGCCCCCAGTCTCCCACCAAGATTCACAAATTTCACCATGGTGACTGAGAAGATGGCTCAGTCAGTACAGTACTTTACTGCACAAGCTCAAGGACCTGGGTTCAATCCCCAGCCTCAACATAAAAAAACAGGCATGGAGGGGCTGGAGAGATGGCTCAGTGGTTAAGAGCACTGACTGCTCTTGCAGAGGACCCAGGTTCAATTCCCAGCACCCACATCGTGGCTACAAACCGTCCTAAACTCCAGTTCCAGGGAAATCTGAAGCCCTCTTCTGATCTCCGCAGCATTGTACGACAAGGGTGCAGTCATATACACGCAGGCAATACACTTATACACATAAAATAAAAATAATAAATAAATTTTTTTTGG